CAACTGGAATTACAGGCATGGGCCAGCACACCCAGACTATGGCCAGTTCAGCCCGTCCTGGGAGCAGGGCTGGCACAGCATGTGGTGCCAGGGATAGAAGCACAGTCCCTGCACTTGCCTAAGTTTGCTTAAGCAGGTGCTTTAGTCTGCTGAGCTATCTCGCCGGCCCCTCTGATGGCATCTTAAACATACCAAAAACATGTTAATTTCCAAAATTATTTCCAAGCAAGAGTCACCTCCTTCCTTGAGGAACAGCGTGCTTACACTAACTTGCATTCTGTCCTTCCTGCGCCATCCTAGCCATTATGCCTCCATTTCCTTAAAGATAAAGATAGACATCATCACAAGCTACTGCTGCAGACTCAAGGCATTGATGGCTTTCAATATTACTGCTTCTTAGTATTTTCCAGTGACCTGAAAATACATAACATGTTGTCATTTGTAATTCTGTGTCACTAGTAACTAACCCAGTATGTATTCTCAAAGAAACAGACCAAACGCAGCCGCCCAGCCTCCTGGCCCCCATCCAGTGATCCTGGTACCTCACCCGCTGATCCTGGGTTGCTGGGTAGACTCCCTGCCTCATGTACAGGGAGCATCTGTTACATCACACTGTAACATAACCTCAAAAAAGCATCTCGTCATAGCCTCTGGAACAGCAAGAGACTGCCATAAAAGCTAAACCTAGAAAGGTGCTGACATTTGACAAAATAATTTTTTAGTAAGTACCAAATCAGGTATGATGAATCATCACCTTAAATCATTGCTCTAGAGGTATCCAACATATTTTCAAAAATGTTCAAAATGATAATTTAACTGAATTTGCTAATAGAGAATAACTGACAAAATGCTATTTGCCAATCAGGTCACTCTAAATGGATTCTTTATTTGGTTTCATAATTAGTTTCAAATTTACACATGGCTGACACAAAAAAGATAAGGAAAAGCTTAAGAAGACAATTATAAAAGTTAAAAATGTACGGTATATTAAAGTCATATTTCACATTTCTAGGATATGAACAAAACACTTTACAAAGAAACATTTAAAAGGCATATTTAACTAAAGAGATATTTATGAGTAAACTTCATTAATCAGGCTCAAATGATCTCACATTTTAACTGAGTACCTGAAAATATATTGTTCATTTAAGGTAAGGGTTCTTCTTAATACATCAAAAGCAAAACAAAGAACTATTTTTTAATTCTTCTAATGAAGATACTTAAAACTACTGGAATGTCCTTTAAAATCAGTCTTTAGTTGTCTCATACCTGAAATTTACAAAGGGTTTTGAGAAAAACAAACTCGTGTTATTATTTTATAAAGTCCAAAAAGGAAATACTAACGAATAGATCAACCTAATTAGTAAACAACCCCATGAATTTGCATGCTGATCCTAAATCCTCAAAGGGATTTGTTCTCTTAATTACATTATCTATGGCAGAGCTATGTCGTTGGTAGTATTAACTATATTAACAGATCCTTTTTTTCACATCCATTGCTGATGTAAACATTATCCACCAAACACTAATGTTTAATCATAATAAACTTAAAATTCATTATACTGATTTAATGAGGTTTCCACTACGCTCAAACGTAAAAATATACGTATTATAACTCAACTGATAATGATACTGTAAAATATCACTAAAATCAATTCAAAATGAGCTCTTGATATTAAAAAAAAAATAGAATTATTTACCAGTACATTACAAAATCCAAACTTGACAGTCATTCACGATATATACCATGCTCTTGTTTTCTTTTTAAGTAGCAGTATCAGTCTCTCCCGGCTAGGAACGCTGGGGACTTGAGTCCTAATTTACCTATAAATGAAATTGCACCTCCTTGCTGGTGAGATATTAGCTACCTCCCTGGAGTTTTCCTTTGGTTACCTGTACAAAAGAAAGAGCTACCTTCTAGGCTGGCAAGACATGGAATACAGCTCATTCCCAGAGCCAAAATCAAGTGTAATAAAGCACAATAGTGCGTGATCTAGAGTTCCTGAGATTCTCTAGAGCTCTTCCTAGGAATGCATCCCTCCAAAGCGAGCTCATCAAGTGTGTGAAACCACTTGATGAGTAAGTAGATTGAGGTAAAAGGCTCACTGCAAACACTTGGAGGTGGGAAATGCAGGAGCCAGAGATGCAGCAAGCTACACTGCTCATCACACAGTTTAACGCCTTCCAAGTGCTGTTAACTGTAATACAGCAAAGCAGGAACGACAGGGCCAGACCAATCATCCCAGCAGGCCAGGTAGAAATGAAAGGAAGCTGAAGTCTGGAACATGGCCCAAACTTGGAGGCACCACTGGGAAGGTAAGCAGGCCACAGAGTGTGCTGGGGTAAGGAAGGCAGAGTTACTCTTCTTATTGTTGCCTTGGGCCTTCTGCCCATAGCAATGCAGCATTTCTCTTAAAACATAATATAAAACAGTACATGCATCAAGTTATTCTGATTTCCAACACACAGCAGTACCAAGGCGTTTTCTCTGAATTCTTACACTTTTCATTTAATCTAAGAACAGCCAAATTTAAAAAGCATTAGTTTTGGTGCTAAAGTAACTCTTTAAAGGTAACATAAACAAATATTTATCCCCTCCAGCATTACCACTGCTTTCTGTTTCTGAAGTTTAGAATATGGATCACCATCTGAACACACTCCAGCGGAGTCTACAGACCTCTAGGATGACTTTCTGACACTCAACACACTTTTTCAAAGCTGAGTTCTGGAAGCACAAATCAAGAGAGCTGTCAATGCACTTCTATTCACAAAACCACAAGTGCAGCTTTATTTGTAAACAGCAATTTGTCAGACAACAAAAATCAGATCATAGTAGTTAGTGAACGTAACACCATGCTACGCCAAGACCACAATGACCTGAACAGCACTTATTTCTGTGTGCACATTTAATGTAGTAAACACTACTATATATCTATAAAAGAAGAAAAATCAAGGGAACATACATACTTCTTCAAGGATGACCCCTTCCTGTCTCAAAGAATGACCACTCAGATGGCCTTCAAACAAAATCTGGAGTAAAAACATAGTCTCATGAACTACATTTTATGTAATTTTTGCAAATATAATGTATCACTTAACAATCTGTTTTCATTCAGCACACTGGCACTTATCCACTAAGAAAGCATTGCGTATATATGGTTGAAAGGATCAAAATAAATCCTAAAGTTCTCATATTTGACAAAATGTTGACTCCAACTTTGAATACTGGTTTTAAACCAATAATTAAAAAGTCTACAAGAAAATATTAAGAGAAATGACAGCAGGATGCCCACCTTAGATCAGGATTCATCAACAAAACTGTTCTTCTATAAACAAAATTTACCATTTATAATTTCAGATCAGGATCCCTATAAAAACAAATACAAGGCTTACTTTTCCTATTTGGGGTCTATTATCCACATTTATTTCATTTCTGTAAAAACATGTAAATCAAATTTTTGAAATTATGGGTGAATGTGTATATTTATAATGAACTCACTTTGATTAAAACAGCATTGGAGAAAAACAAGGCAAAACAGCTACGGAATGGATGAATAAGCGCTTCCAATAACTGAAAGATGTCGAGGCAGAACGTATGAACAACTCTTACACTGTTCACTTGATGACAACTTCACATTATTTACATGAAGAATCCACATTCTGTAGTATAGAAATAGGGAATGTGACATGAGAGTTTATTTGCCAGCATATGTATAGCTATCATCTGAATTGTAAACTTTATCTTAATTTTCTTAAAAATAGGTGATCCTAACCTACATTGGAGCTGCACCTATCTAAACACTTCATTCTGCAATTTCAGGCAAATGATCTTAGTTTTTTTAACAAGTTGTTCATACAAAGCATAGTTCTTCTGAGCGAATTTGAACTGTTTACATAAGGACCCATGCCTGCAGAAAAAAATAAAATAGTTGTGCAACTGTCTGTAGTCCTACTTCAAATCATTTTTGCAGAGCTATTTCCTCCTTATTTTGATGGGTCTACAAATCCTGCACTGAAGCAGAAATGATTCCAGTGCTACCAAGAGAAAAGATATTTTATTATCTTACAAAGAGAATACAATTTCCACTATCACCTCATCACCTCTCCCCCCCCCCCCTTCCACTCTCTTTCTCTTTCTCTCTTTCTCTTTCTCTCTCATACTTAAAACCTGAGCAGCCCTGGCAGGAGACCCGGGGACCTCCAAGCTCAGGGTCACTCTGTCCAGCGCCCACTGAACAGCGCACCATGGTGCAGTTGCCTCTCCCCGCGTCTGGCGCGGCTGCCAGCCGTGGCACACTAGACACGTCTCGGATCCGCGCACACACGACACCACACACCACCGTGCTTCCTGGGTCCGAACCGTGGCACACAGCAGGTGCCCTCACCGGCTCTGCCAGGTGCGCCGACCTGGAACGGGATCTACTCAAGGCCGGCGGACCTGCCCTGGCCCAATCCTAGTCACCCCAGGACGGGTCCCTACCCGCCTCAGGACGCCGCAAAGACGGTGATCCCCACCCTTGCTAGAGCACAGGCAGGGAGACCCGCGGATCCCGTCCCACCCGCACCGCGGTCTTCCGCACTAGCAGCGGTGGGGGCGTGGAGCGCGGCGGGGGCGGCGCGGGGCTGTGACAGCGGGGCGGGGGTGCCCGGCAGTCTCCCCACCCGCGGCCCCCGCGCCCGACCCGCGCAGGAGAAAGCAAGCTCCCCCGAGTCGGGTACGGGCCTCTTGGGGAAAAGACACGGGTTCAGTATCGCTATCAAGGATTGGGGACCGCGAACGGGGGAGGGGGCGCGAGGCGGCGCGGAGGCACCGCCACAGCACGGTGCCGGTGGCTCTCGGAACCATAAATCAGCTCCTCCGCAGCGGAGGCCCAGCCGGCGAGCCGCCCACTTCCTATTCCTGTCCCCGCTGTCCCCGCGATGCCCGCCGCCCCCGGGGTCCCCGCCTGCTCTCGGCCCGGTCCGCGCGCGGACGGCCCGAAGAAGCTCCCACGGCTCACCTTTCACCACCCGGTCGGTCGTCGACAACTTGGGGTCGCTGGCCTTGGGCTCGGACATCGCCGCCCCGGCCCGGCCGCGGGGCCCCGAGCCGTCCGCGCCGCGCG